GCATTCCAAAACCAAAAATGATAAAAGTGAGTATGTAATACAGTTAATAATAACAACTTCCTCTTATGATGTGATTCAGTGGAGGAAGAGACTTCAGAAGCAGTTCTTCTGCCTGCAGTAGATAGGAAGGCAGGAGGTAAGCGCTGCCCTCTGTTTGAAAACACTTCTGGCAAAAAGAGCAGCAAATAGTTTTCCTACAGAAACTGCTGGTTCAGCAGACTGTTTATCATGAGCAGATGAAAGCACCGTTACACTGAAGCTTTGATTCAGTGCGGGATTAAGGGCACATCAGAAATACTGCTTCCTGTGCGGCTGCGTTCTAAGCCACCAACAGCAGAACTCACTGTAAGGGATAATATTTCCACTTAAAGTATTTGCAGAATGTGTTGTTTTACAGAACAGAATTTCTAACCTGGTCATGTTTTGGATTTCCAGTGAAACAATTTAGCGCTGTGATGTTCCTTTTCAGAACTATCATGACCTACTTTCAGTGGGTGTCTCCATTTTCCAGACCAAGCATCTGATCAAATCCTAACCTGAAATGTAAATGCAGAACGAACACATGGCAGGGATTTCTCTGGGTATGCAGGAAAAGGCAGCTCCAAATGAGAGTTATGTCTGCTGAGATTTCACCTTCGGAATTGATACATGCCTGGCAGTGTGTGTGAGGATTAAATTTAGGCTTTTGAAGCAATGAAAGCCATAGTAGAAACAGCTGGATTGTGTTTGTGAGGCAAATAAACCACACAGAGCCATTTCCTAAAACTAGGAATACTCTGAGACTCCTGTTACCACTGTAGTACAGGAAAAAGTGTACAGAATAGTTACACAGTGCTGCAGAAAATACGGTGTGTTATCAGCATTGGCCCTTGTTGCCAAATATAATTAGTTTTCAATTATTGGGGCAGCTGTAGGCCCCTGCTGCAGGATGCCTCTGCCTTCCCTGGTGTGCTGGAGCAGCTCTGCGTGGCTGTGGCCTCAATGAGACACTTTTCTGGTGCAGCTGGCTCCACAAAGCCTGTAGCTGCCCTGTGACCAGCGCATTTATAGCTCCCAGAACACAGCGGAGGGCAGCCTATTCAGTTTCTTGATTGATGACTTTGTGCATGTGAAACCTTTCTTCATAACTTACACATCTCAAAAGAACAGTTTAGAACTGTGATGCTTTAAGGTCAATTCTTGGTAAGAAGTACCGGTACTTGCCATAATGAAAGTCGATTTTCAGCATTTGCAATTCAGCCTGAATAACCTTTTTGGCTGAAATTTCCCCATGCTGTACAAGGAGTGACTGCTTCCTGCTGACACATGGAGAATTTTGGCCAAGCACTTCAATTCTTTTGGAAAAGGAGTTAGAAAAGTACTTTGCTTTGCCTTCATTTTGTCTGGTCTTTTATTTGAGCTTCTCTTCAGTCCCCTTGCTGGGAAGACAGTTCTCCTGTTTCTTCTCTGCTGAGAGCTGGAAAGAGATACGAGCCAGGTAGCAAAAACATTCTGAACCCAAATCCTTCTGTCCTTCTGTCTGATATCAGGTGCTGCTGGGCTGTTTCCTCTCATGATTCATTTGGGGCTGAAAAATATAAAAGCTGCTCAGTCGTATCCAGGAAGGGTCCTGCTGTGCCAAAGTCACATGCAGCATCGTGCAGTTTGCTGTAGTGCTTATCTGTATGGATGAGTTTGGCCATCTTGCATGCTGCCATGTGGATAAGTGGGGAGGTTTGGAAATTACTGGTGCTTGTAGTAATACAGCAAGTGTTAGAAATCAGAATATGTGGTGCATTCCCTGTAATCTGAGGCATTTTTATCACCCTGTAAAATTAGACGCACTTTCTAACCCTTGATGGTTAATAGGAAGTGCTGTCAGCATCTCTATATCGTAGGACTCCCTTCTATTTCAGAAGTTTGCCACCTTGGCTGCAGTCCCAAGTGCTGCAGAAGATATCTGGTTTGGATGCATGAAAAAGAACCAGTCAGTAAACAAGCAGGAAGGGGAAACTTTTCACCTCCTGTATCGCTGGGTCGTTGCTTCTACTCTCTGATTGACTATAGAAGTGATGAGTAATGCAATGGTAATTGCATGGATGTGTGGGTGGGGAGAGGGAGGAACCAGAATGAGAGAAGGCAGAAGATAGTAACACCCAGTTCAAAGGGAAGAGAGAGGGAAAGACAAAAAGAGAGTGATGAATGAATTGTCATTTGGAAGGAAGAATATAGAGTCTGGTGTACATAAACAGGAGAAAGCAGCCACAGCTTCCGTATCACCTTCCCTGGGCATGCAGTAGGAAGGGGAATACACTATGTTCTCGGAAGAGTGGCAAATGGGAAAAAAAAATCCCTGAAAAAAATTTTCTCCTGTGCTGGAATATACAAATAGCTGCCTTGGAAAGCCTTGGGAGGAGCCCTGCAGACAGCCTGTCCACACACATACCCTGCCAATCTGGGCCATAAACTTGCAACAGCCTGTGAGAACAATTCAGAGGTCTGATACTGAAGCTCAAGGAGTCAAGGGATGGGTGCTGAAAGGACTGGGTGTGTGTTAGATTTGTTGAGATAGAACGGCCTGTCCTCACTGGGGTGGTTTTTGATCCTTAGGCACACAGACACACACTGAGGCCATCAGCAGCAGTAGTTCCGCTCCCTGGCCTTGGTGGCAGGGGTTCCTGGCCTGAGCTCATGTGTCTGTGCTTGGCTGGGGGCACTGGATAGGTTCATGTTGTGGGAAGTGCAGCAAGTAGCACAGAGATGCCATGGGAAGGCGTGGAAGCTGCTAGATTTATTGCTTTGGAAATAATTTTACAAACTCTTATTGTAGTCATAAATCATCTGATAAATTTGGCACTAGCTACGCCTCAGATAATTAATCTAAATTTACTTGTGTTAAGCATAGAAAGCACACCCAGGACCTTTCAGATTATTGTACATAGTGAAATATAACAGAAGCTCAGTACTTTTATAGAATTATAGGACATAAATCAGCTTTCTTACAATTTTCTGAGTTCTCATTTGTGTGAAACGTTTTGAGAAAAAAAAATTATTGTGAAAATCATCGTTTTCTGGGAACTCATATACCAATCCCTCTTATTGCCAGTGTTTATTTAATAACTGGCACTCGGAATCATGAAAAGAGGTCCAATGGTTCATCCCCACTGAGAACAGCAGTTCTACCTCTGTGTATTCAGACCCAAACCTCCAATCCAAATATATTCAAGTGACTTCAAGCCAAATATACCAAACTTACAGAGTGCACACCAGTGTACTTTTTTATTATCTATGTTATTATTATCATAGAATCATAGAATTACAGAATGGCTTGGGTTAGAAGGGACCTCAAAGATCGTCTGCTTTGGGCCGGGATGCTGCTGCCATGGGCAGGGATGCCAACCACTAGATCAGGATGCCCAGTATTGTTATTATGTTACATAATTGTCCAATCTGTTTCTGATTAGTAATTGACATTGTTTTTCACATTAAAATGAAAAGTGGTCAAAAAAAATTATTAACAGGATCATAACATGTTACCTTGTTTTATATTAAACTTATCTGTGTTCTAACCTCTCGCTCTGTGGCAACTGCGGGGTATTACAAACGTGACTAATATCTCACATTTAACACTGTGTTTTGACTCAGAACTGCTGACTTTGACTGTATCATTTCAGCTGCAAAGATCAAGTTGCAATAAAGATGTGGGAAACACCTCTGAATATCTTGGAAATCTTTTACCAGGAACCACTAGGGAAAACAGTGAATTTGTATTCTGGAGTCCTATAGCAGTGTATGCCCAAGGTCAGAATTGAGTTGCAGAGCAGCAGCATCTGCATGCTGTGTTCAGTAACTTGGCAGCCGTGAAGCTTTTCAATTTTACCTTTACATTTTGGTACTGCTCTGTACCAAAGCCTGAATCTGTGTGGAAATGCAGAGAAATACATTTCTCATCGCCGTGCCCTCTGGATTGCTGTGGTCAGAACGAGTGGGTGTTACCATGAGGAGATGGAATAAATGTTGCTGCTTTGAAATGCTGCCTCTACAGCTCCCAGTGTTACCGCACTTGTCATCATGAGCTTTCTAAATGCTCTTCTTTTCAGCTTCCAGTAAATTCATTCCACTCACAGAAACACCCACATCTGTAGCAAGACATGTATGTATGTATTCGCCTTTCCTTATTTTCCATATCGTGACAGTCATGTTTTCCCTACCCAGCTCTCCTTCCTTGCACTGTTCTGTCGTGCCGTGTGACCCCACTCCGTGGTTATGTCCATCTTTTTCCCCAAGGTTGAATGTTGTCATGTTTTGTTAAACTCTTCAATGCCAGAATATCTCTTGACTTACTGCTGATCAGATTCACGTGTATTTTAATTTCCCTGTTAAAAAATTATTTTAATACAAGACTCATTGAATGATTCAATAGAAAAGAGCAGGTCTGGATATTTCATTTAAAGGTGGCAAGTGCTGAGGAGTTTTCAAACTTTTCACCATAACGAGCTGCACAGAGTTAATAGCTTTGGCTTAATAATAGCTGAATTTTATTTAGCAGAAATTTCCAGAATGGCTGTCTGGAGCAGGATCAGAGAGACGTTATATCTTGTTCTGATTTTTACTTCTGACTACTGTGGTAAAATTTAGATGCTAGTAAGGAAGCAGACAATGTCTTCTGTGCCTTTCCCTTCTAATACAGGAGAAACTGGCTCACAGAGGAAGGATTTCAGCACACAGCCTGGAGATGCGTTTACAGTGCCATGGTTTTGACAAGCCTGGCCCTTCCACTTGCTGCAGCCCTGAGCCATCCAGTGTGGCTGGAACCGCAAGCAACTGGGAACACACTGTGACTGCAGTATCTGGCACAAACACGCCTTGGGGAGGAATGCTCCCATCTGCTGCATTCAGTGAGGAAATGCAAACAGAGTGACACTGGACTCTCAACTCATCTCCTTGTTCTCTGTTTCAGGTCCCAGCCTGATAGGATCATGGGGCAGGTGCCAGGCACAGCCCTGGGCAGGGATGCTGGCACCCTCCTGGCATTGCATGGTCACCCCTGTGCCACAGCACCAGTCCCAGCTCCCATCGGGCCCAGCAGGCGCCTCAGAGCCAGACAGAGGGGCTTCAGCACCCAGAGCTCAGCCTTGGCACCCACACCTCACTGCAGTGCCTGGGACTGTCAGGAAGCATATCTGTATGGCTTTTTTTATGGCTCCAGATGTGGTTTGTGGGTTCCCATCTCCGCTGAATTATTTGTCTTTTGCTTCTCATCAGCTGGGCCCACAAAAGGGTGTTCCTGCCAGCTGCAGAGCAGGCCTGAGCCACTCAGCACATTCCTATCACACTGCTCCGGGAGCCCGTCTGATGGCTGGTAACTGGCACTGCGCTATGTCTGCAGGGAGAGCCAGCCTGGCCCAGCCTGCCGTACTGAGCAGGTTCAGCTGTCACTGTGTGTGTGTCTCTGGGCCTGTCAGAGAGCACTGCGTGTTCAGCTGTGGCTGTGCACCATGGCTGTGGGAACTGAGCACTGAAAATCAGGAACCTTCTATTGGATTGTATGTGTCAGGTAATTCCTGCTCATGTTAATCATCGGCAAATGTAAAAACGCTTTGAGACTTTGATAATCCTTGTGAAACAGCCTACGCTTTGGAGGATGTAGCTGCCATCAGAACAAATCCTAATATCTACAAATTTCTCATTTATCGATGGAATTCTGCTTCTTTCCTCTAATCTCCTCTTGGAGATTTTATTTATTGAGAAAACAAGAAACTGTTTTTACTGATAACAGGTCCAACCCATACCTCTGGTTCAGAGTAATACCAGATACTTATCTGAGATCATCATCTGCAGTTTTTCAATTTCAATGCATTAGCCCTAACACTCACAAGAGAAAGAAGCAATTTTATTCAGATCTTGTTCCACTGGGCCAAAATCAACCTTGAGGTTCAACATTCAGGATTGTTTTGTTTTGCTTGTTTGGGTTTTTTGTATCAAAAATGATTAGTGTTGACTGATCCCTACTTTACAGGCTGCCACTTCAATAGCAATCCTGCGTGCTCATTTATAGACTCATAGAATCACAGAATCACAGCACCATAGAATCATTTGAGTGGAAAGGAATACTTAAGGGCAGTCTAGTCCAACTCCCCTGCAGTGAACAAGGACACTTACAGCTGGATCAGGTTGCTCACAGCCCCATCCAGCCTGACCTTGAGTGTCTCCAGGGAACGGGGCTTCCACCACCTCTCTGATTGACCTGTTCCAGTGCTTCACCACCCTTACTGTAAAAATCTTTTTCCCTATATCCAGTCTATCCATTTATGGGAAGGAATATTTTAGATGTAGTTGTACTGCCGTGATGCTCTGACTTTGAACTTTGATTTCTGCAGGTTCTTTGCCAGAGCATCCTCACAGCAAGTGAAAGGACAGAGAGCTATGACTGAATGGAAAGGCTGACTAATTACTCCAAAGGTAATGTGGGAAAGTCAGAGGGAATTGAATCATCTGCCACTAGCAATCAAAGCCCCAGTGTTCTGTTAAAAAAAGGTTGATGTACATTCCTGCTTGTAGAGGAATCAACAGATTTTGTTTAAAATTCTGCTGTTGCAGAGGGCGTTTCCTGGAGAAACATGACCACACCAGTATGTCACCTGGTGACATTCAGTGTCAGAGTGCTGATGGAAGAGGGAGGGAAGGGAAGTGAAGTGAAGGGAAGGGAAGGGAAGGGAAGGGAAGGGAAGGGAAGGGAAGGGAAGGGAAGGGAAGGGAAGGGAAGGGAAGGGAAGGGAAGGGAAGGGAAGGGAAGGGAAGGGAAGGGAAGGGAAGGGAAGGGAAGGGAAGGGAAGGGAAGGGAAGGGAAGGGAAGGGAAGGGAAGGGAAGGGAAGGGAAGGGAAGGGAAGGGAAGGGAAGGGAAGGGAAGAAATTGGTTGCTTTGCCAGGCCCAGGAGGGACAGAGAGGTCTCCTGCCCTGGCGGTGTGTGGATGGAAAGCTGCCTTGCCTTACTGTGCTGAACGGGGCCACTCACTGGATCATCCTCACAGACAGAAATCAAACACCAGAGCTCAAGTGGAAGAGATTACAGTCCTGGAGCCTAAGCTCCCACGTGCATTTGGTGAAAAGGAGACCTCTTTTAGGTTTCACGTTTTGTTTATTTATTTCCTACATGCAGTATATTCATGGAGGGCAGGCTCCTGTGGGAGAGAGGTGTGAAGCGTTTGGATTTATAAGGCAAAGAGCAATCGGGAAGGGCTGCTCCTAGTATTGTTAGAGCTGACCAAATGCTCACACTGACTCAACACAGTCAGAGATGAGCTGTGGGAGGTGGGATGGGGCTGAGGGGGGGCATTGGTGTGAGTCTTGTTCCACAAAAGGCAGGGTGCTCTCTGGTGATGCAGGCAGTGAGGCCCAGTTCTGCTGTACTGCCAGGACTGTGGCAGCCAGAGCTGGCAGGTGCCCAGAGGCAGCTTGCAGTGGGCAGCACTATACCCCGTCCCCAGAGGCTTTGCAGGCACTGGGGTTGAGCCAACCATCCTGCTGCTCGGTTTCCTTCTTCTCATCCCCTTCCTCTGTGGCTATTAATATTTTTTATAGCCCAGTTGCCAGCAGTTCTCAGCAAAGCAGCTGGTCCCTCCCAGGCTGCTCTGGGTTCCTTCAGGTTTTGGCAGCTGCTGTTTCTGTTCAGTCAGAGGAGAACCAGCTCCAAAGCATGGGCTGGGCTGAGAGTGGATGGGATGGGATGGGATGGGATGGGATGGGATGGGATGGGATGGGATGGGATGGGATGGGATGGGATGGGGGAACAGCTCACATAGCCAGAGATCTGCCCACTTCTCCCTGCAGAGCACAAGCAAGGAAGGACTCCATGCACTGGGGACTACACAGCAGCCAGCAGTGCAGAAGAGGCACACTGTCATCCATAGCTGTGTGTAAATGTGCTGTGTCCCCCCATGTGAACTTGTCTGCTTCTCTTCATGAGTTGTATAGAGCTTTCATTCTGTGTTTTTACTTGCTCCAAGCTGCAGTCCTGGTGCAGCTGGTGGTGGAAACAGGCCACTCATTTAAAGTAATGGTCATCCTGGAAGGGTCAGTAGTAGAAGCTGAAGCTTTCCAGCTCTCTTCATTTGCTAATGCTGTAGGGTTGGCAGCTCCTTGTATTGATGGTGGCCCACTAAATTCACGCTTCTTTTTTTTTAGACAAACCATCCATCAGAATGGCAAATTACCCCTGAAGTCTCAGCATTGTGCTACTGAGTTCCTCTAGAAGCAACAGTGAAAAGCACAACCTATCTGCTAATTGTTTTACTTCAATGCCTTTTGCTGATATGGAGAGCTTAGAAGAGCTCAGTAGTGGTTTCAATTACTTGGGTATAAATCCAAAAAATGACAGTGGGGTTGGGCCAGATTTACAGAGCTGTAAGTGAGATTTTAAGAAATGTCTGCGTAGTTTCCTTTCAGGATCTATATCTAAATGTCTTAATTAGCCTCTCAATTCAAGGGTCTAATTTCCACCACGGTTAATGAATTGCATTTATACACAGTAGCTAAATTATCTTGCCAGTTTTTACGGAATATTTTAAAGACTCTTTATGAGAAAAAAGAGCCTCAAAGTTCTCCAGCTTTGTTTTTCCAAGTCTGAGGACTAAATATAGTGTACATTCCCCAGAAAATGTGAGTGATGGGGATTAGTAATTCATGAGTGATGTGGCCCATTTACAGCCTTAACAGCACAGAGCTCATTGTTGCATGGAGAGGATCAAACAAAACAACTGGGTTGACTTTCATGCATTTAAAACAATGAGGAATAAAGGCTTAATCGGCTAGAACTGCAAATGCTCTCTCCCTTCCCCCCCCCCCCGTTTAGTTAACACTGATGAAAATACTGAATCATGGCTAAGAATTAAGCTGTAAAGTGAATTTTAAAAGGCAAAAGGGTAATAAATAAAAGCTCCAAAGTATTAGAAGTTGGGGCTCCAAATGAATTTGGATTATGTAATAAAGCTGTCATCTGATGAAAGAAGAAATGTCCTCCCCAAACCTATGGTTGTTTCTGATTGCTGTGTTTTTAGTCCCTTTTTGAGAGGTACTATAGGTAGTAGGTGGTCACCATGAGGAAGTGCTTTGAGTCTGAGCTATTTATCAACAGCTGATTGTTTCCACACCCTTCTCTTTTATGTGAGATAGACCTCAGTGCTGGCCCCCCAAAGGGAGGGATGCCCTGTGCTATAAGCTGGGCCCCTGGAAGGGCTGCACAGAGGAGCAGAGCAGTGCCCTGAGTGAGGTGACCGTGCTGCAGCCACCTCTGTGCAGTGCTGTCTGTGCAGCCCTCCTGCAGCTCCAGCAAAGGAATGGCAAGCTTCGAAGCTTGGATGGATACACTCTTGGCTGGGTAAGGAGCTGGCTGGAGGGCCGGGCACAGAGAGTGGTGGTGAATGGAGTCAAATCCAGCTGGTGACAGGTCGTGAGTGGTGTTCCCCAGGGGTCGGTGCTGGGGCCTGTCCTCTTCAATATCTTTATTGATGACCTCGATGAGGGCATCGAGTGCACCCTCAGTAAATTCGCAGATGACACCAAATTGGCTGGAAGTGTGGATCTGCCTGGCGGTAGCGAGGCCCTACAGAGGGATCTGGACAGGCTGGAGAGCTGGGCTGAAGCCAATAGGATGAGTTTCAACAAGGCCAAATGCCGGGTCCTGCACTTCGGCCACAACAACCCCAGGCGACGCTACAGGCTTGGGGCGGTGTGGCTGGAGGACTGCGTAGAGGAAATGGACCTGGGGGTATTGATTGATGCTCGGCTGAACATGAGCCGACAGTGTGCCCAGGTGGCTAAGAAGGCCAATGGCATCCTGGCTTGCATCAGAAACAGTGTTGCAAGCAGGAGCAGAGAGGTGATTGTTCCCCTGTATTCAGCACTGGTGAGGCCGCACCTCGAGTACTGTGTCCAGTTTTGGGCCCCTCACTGCAAGAAAGATATTGAGGCCCTGGAACGTGTTCAGAGGAGGGCAACAAAGCTGGTGAGGGGTCTGGAACACAGGCCATATGAGGAGAGGCTGAAGGAGCTGGGAATGTTCAGCCTGGAGAAGAGGAGGCTCAGGGGAGACCTCATTGCTCTCTATAACTTCCTGAAGGGAGGCTGTAGTGAGCTGGGGGTCGGCCTCTTCTCTCGTGTCATTAGTGATAGGACCAGGGGGAATGGCTTCAAGCTACGGCAGGGGAGATTCAGGCTGGACATGAGGAAGTATTACTTTTCGGAAAGGGTAGTCAGGCACTGGAACGGACTGCCCAGGGAGGTGGTGGAGTCACCGACCCTGGGGGTGTTCAAGGAAAGACTGGATGTTGTGTTGAGGGACATGGTTTAGTAGGAGCTATTGGGAATAGGTGAACGGTTGGACTGGATGATCTTTTAGGTCTTTTCCAACCTTAGTGATTCTATGATTCTATGATTCTATGATTCTATGAATGTCCCCACGTTATCGAGTAACCTTCGGATGATGGGCGTACTCCCAGCTCTTGAGATGCACGCCACAAGCCTGGCTTTTGTTGCTGTTTTCTTCTGGTTGTTTTGTTTTTGTTTTTTGCAGTGTTGTTCTAACGTAACTCAGTTGCCTGCCTAAGACTCGCTGTGCTTTCCAGCAGAGGTAATGAGCAGTCCCTGTGAATTATCCAACAAAAGGACTCCTACTCATGGTCTTAAAATATTGCCTGTTATATCTTTGATTGGAAAGGAGAAAGTGGCCCTTCCGTTAATTGCAGCCACTTTTTATTCTCATCTCTTCGAGCACAGCCTGATATGTAGGCCTGCCTCTGTGCGTTTGTTCACCCCAGCCTTTTTCTAATGCTCCGGGAAAGGCAAAGCTGCTCTGGCTGCACGCTCCGTAGCTGTGAGTAGGAGGAGGCATTTGCTGCTTTCTGTTCTCTCACAGAAGTAACCCCACTCACTGCTGGCGCAGGTTTGCAACAGAGGATGCAAGCCTCGCTGTGTGCCTCTGCTTTGCTCCAGGTATACATCAGTCACAGCAGCCATTTGCTGCCTGCCGCACTCCCAGACCCCAGGTCTGAACTGCAGGCACAGGATTTGGCAGCAGTTTGGTAAGTAGCCCTCATTGCTGTGGTGCTCAGAGTGAGCTGGTGCTGAGCAGCAGGGCATGCACTGACCTCTTCTTCAGTTCGCTGAGTCACACACAGCCACTTCTGGCTGGAAGTGTTTATCTCCCTGGCTTTTTCTTCACTGCAAGAAGAGATGTGTTCTTAATAGCAGTTAGCCATCCAAACCACAAATGTAGTAAAGTGTATTTGCCTTGTTGATTGTAGCATTTTAATTCTGTTGTATCTTGCAATGTTAAGGCAAATTAAAAAGGCAGCTGTTCTAGTGCAGTTTGTGTATCAAGCACAGAAGCACGAACTTTGGAAAAAACAAAACCCATCCTTTCTTTTCCAGCTATTTAGGAAGAATCTTTCTGTTCTTAGAATCATAAAATCATAGATTCATTAAGGTTGGAAAAGACCCAATAAACCATGTCCCTAAGTACCACATCTACTCTTTCCGTAAACACCTCCAGGGATGGTGACTCTTCCACCTCCCTTGGCAGCCTTTTCCGATGCATTATCACTCTCTCTGAGAAGAAATTATTCCTAATATTCAACCTGAACCTCCCTCCCCTGGCACTACTTGAGGCCATTCCTTCTCATCCTATCACTGTTACCTGGGAGGAGAGGCCAACCCACACCTCGCCACAACCCCAGGCAACAAGGTCTCCTCTGAGTGCCTCCTCTTCTCCAGACTGAACAATCCCAGTTCCCTCAGCCACTCCCCATAAGTTTTGTGCTGCAGACCTTTCACCAAATTCATTGCCCTTCCCTGGGTACACTCCAGGGCCTCCATGTCTTTCTTGTAGAGTCCAAAAGTGAACTCAGTACTTGAGGTGCAGCCTCAGCGGGGCTGAGTAGAGGGAATTAGATTTGAGCCTGGGGCAGTGCCCGTGAAGGATCTGCAGCACAGGAGGCTCCATATGCTTGCCAATACATGGCCAAGCATATGGAGCCATTTAACTGAGCCATTTAACTGATGGAGGTGAGTGCTGATGCCCTTCCTCATCCAGCTCTTGTGCTGGAGTCTCTGCTAGCCCCTCAGGCTCCCATATCTCTGCCACGGCTCTGTAACCATGGCATGTAAGCACATGGCAGAGAGCTTCTTGTTAGTAATCAAACTCTTATTTTTTAAATCACAATTACCCATTTATTCCAGGCTTTTTGACAACTCCTAACTGTCTTGAGCAGGTATTTTCAGCCACTTCTCTTCCCCAACTTTTAATTAAAGATATCTGTAGAGCCACTTTCTCACCATGTCTAAAGAAGGGTTTATCCTTCATTAATTATTTTTTAATCACTATCACTGGCTTTATCCTGGCCTATACTGAATCAATCTGATCCATTTTCCTTCTGCACCTCCGCAGTTCCCTGAGGTAACAAGTTCATCAAGTCAAGGCCCAGCTCCTCCATTTCATCTTCACTCCATTGCCAGGCCCCTCCATGTACCCTCTATGCTTCTGGGATTCTGTAGACCTCATACCCCTGAATTCTCATTCCCTGGCAGGAGACCCTAATCTTTCTCATGCAAAACCCTTTTCTCCTTGTCCCTAACACTGGTTTCCTCCTGACTATCGCACACTCCTGGGCTGGCTCATTTACTTTGCTGCAGTAAGGAAGCCTTACAAAACCCTGATGTAAAAGCATGGTGTCCCAGGCCTGCCCCTCCTCCAGGCAGCACTTGATTTCACCCCTCAGGAATCAGCCTCTGGTTACCAGCAAGGAGGTTTGTCCCTTTGGAGCAGGGCCAGACGGCGGCTTCTTCCAGGGAAAAATAAATCTTTGAGGCTAATTAATAGCTCCCTTACACAGGCATAAATCTGCTGCAGCCATTAGAGCGGAGCAGCAATCTGAAAGGATGGGCAGTTGTCTTGGTCTGAGGGAGGGGAAAATCTTTGGAGATTTTTTTCTTTGTTTTGAATGGTTCCCATTTGATTTTAAATTAATTATTTTTGTGGCAAATAAATGGGAACTTCCGGATAAAATTGGCTTTGTGTGAATGAATCGCTGCCATGCTTTTTTTTCCCCTCGTCTTTAAGAAATGTTTTAGGATGAACAATGTTCTCCCTATTGAATAAAAAGAAAATAAGGAAGAAAAGAAAGTGAGATGTGTGGATTTTACGACCCATTTCTTGGTGAAGCAACTATAAGGAGCTATGCCAGATGTGTGGCTTGCCCCCAAGAATCCCCCTGCTGCAGGCTGCGGGTGCCCACCTGTATGCAGGCAGCCTGTCTCCATTACAGGTCGAGGGGGTGAGATCTCTTCATGGGGCCAGAGGAGTCAATTTGGGCTGGTCTGTGTGCCATGGGGTGCCTGTGGGCCGTGTCCCACAGGATTACCCTGAGACCAGCAGCAAGGCAGCTCTGGGCAGCGCTGCTCAGTGGGCCCTGCAGAGCACCGGGTGGGCAGAGACAGCTGGGGAAGAGGAGCTGCTTCGTTATTGGTTTTAGTTCTTTGCTTTTTCTCCTCTTTTCCTTTTATTTTCTGCCTTGTGTGTGCATGGCTCTCCTTTTCTCTCTTTTCTTCTCCTTATCTCTCTTGGCCTTGGATGACGAGCAGATGTTATGCTCTGGGAACTCATCCACAGTAATGATTTTTTCATCTTATGAAAGTGAATCTGGAATAAAGCTGTAGGAGAGCAGAGCCAGCAGGACCGCCTGCTCCAAATCCCCTAGGAATGGCCTCACAGCAGCCATTTCTCACTGGTACAACAGCAGTGACAAGACACCTACCTGTGTGTGACAGCAGGTTGATGTGCCCCTGCACTCAGTGTCCTTGGTCATGATGAGCAGCCGCAGGGCCAGGATCTGGGAGAAGTCTGGTCCCTGGTGGCACAAAGGAGATGTAAACATGGAAGGTCTCCAGGGAAAGGTGTTCTTCATGAGGCACACAAGCAGTGTGAGATCTGTGTTAGTGCAATGGCTTGTTTCAGGCAGAAAACAAAGCTGAGGAACTGAGCACTCGGAGGAAGCCTGCACAGTCACAGGGAGACTGTCAGTCTTGCGGTTCTAGAGCTGGGCAGGTGGGTGCTGCAGACTGGCAGGACGAGGTGTTTTGTGTGGGGAGCTCTCATCCTGCATCCTCTTTGGGTGATAGAGACACAGGTAGGCAAAAAGGGTGACCTCAGGTTTCCTAACTCCTTCCTTGCCTTGCTAGCAGAGGATGTTGCTGCACCACCTTAGTTGTGAAACCTCAGCAGAGATTCAGCCTAGCTGCCTGCAGCCCAGGAGCTGTTCACCAGCAGCTTCGATTCCAACCGAGATCA